CTACTTAGTAAGGAAGTAACTCTGTTGGCTGCTTGGCCATAGCTCAGCTAAAGAGGGAGTGTAAAGAGAAGTTTATTCATTGAAAACCTTCCAATTCAGAACCAGTGGTGGCAAGAGAAAAATGTGGCCCTCTGACTGAGTGATTTTACAGCCTGTGACCAGAAGCCTTCTTGAGAGTTTGTAGCCAAAGAGAGAGAAAAAAAGTCTTGTGACCAATTGATCTTTGATTTCTACATTAATCTTCTTGGGGTGAAGAAAACACCATGGGACATCAGTTTACTCAGCTGCCTTAAGGGGAGATTCTGACATGGCCCTTTCGGAAGACATCAAAGAGGGGCAGAAAGGTCTCTCCCACAAATGAGGCTTCAGAGAAGGTGTACAGATGGGCTGCTGTGTCAGCATTGTAGAAAGCAACCCTCCCAGCTGCACAATTCAGAGACACTCGGATTCTTTTGAGGTCATCACTTGGAGACAAGCAAGTGAACGTAGGATGGCTGGTAGACTTGTATTCACCGTCCCACTTCCCTACAGCCAAGATACCTCCCTTTGCAGTTGAGATACAGTCTTCATTTCTCTCCACTGACTCTCGGGTGACCCCTGCCAGCCAGTTCTCCTCACTTCTCACAACAACTTCCCAGAAATGTCTGCCTGCTGTGAATCTCTCCTGTCCCAGCACCATACCACGTTTGGAAAATCTCTTAGGGTTGTGGGGCAGATCTTGACCTTTGGATCCACATGTGACACTTTTACGATCTTCAGAAACAATAAGCCACAGATGAGCTGTGTCTGGATCCAGGGTTACATTTGCTGCAGGAGAACAGAGTTGAGAGGAAAAACATAAGGAGCAACGCTAATTATAGAATCCACTGACCAGCATGCTGACCCTAAGCATGCCATAGGAATTAAAGTCAAAATCAAGAGGCTCTCCAAATACTGCAGGCTTGGGAGGGCCTTCTCCTTTTTTCTAGACCTTCCTACAACAATATGCTAAACCTCTTAACTTATATTTAAAATGCAAATCCCTCTCCTATCATTCAAGATATCTTGCAGTAAGAAAAAGTGACAGAAAACCGATAGACTTCCTTGGGTTTGAGCAGGGCCAGAGGAAAGGAAAATAGAGGGGGAAGAAAGTGATAAACAGGGTGCTTTCAAATTAACCTTTTTTGTGCAAACAAGGGATTCAAGACAATTAAAAATGTCTGCACACTTCCAGTGGGCAATCTGTGGCTATGCACAGTGCCCATAAAAGCTTGTGACACTTGAAGAACTGGAGTATACCATTAAAAACTGAGCTTGAAACATTACCTATTAAGAGGGACTTGTTGCTTTATTCATTAATTCTCAATAGCCGAACTGCTTTGAATGTTACTCTATGTAAGTAACTAGTTGCAATTTGTTTTATTAAGACCTGTTATTGATCTTACCAAAACCACAGAAAACAATAAAAAAACACATATCCCAGTGACCAGTTCTGATATTATGCCTTGGAAATACATATTAAAATTGTTATTGTTATTAGCGATCAAGTTGATCCTGATCTGCAGCGACTGCACTACAGTTTTCAAGGTCTGTGAGATGTTCAAGGAGTAGTTTACCATTGCCAACCCCCAAATGAGCTTCAGTGGACAAACCTCCATAAATCCTGGGCTCCTGAGTTCTAATCCAACACCATTGTAAGGAAATGGAAGGAAAGTGGGGAAGGGAGGTTACTTACCTGTAACTCTGGTTCTTCAAATGCTCATCTGTGAATTCACACTAATGGGTTTAATCTGCGGTTGCACAGAGGTCTCCCGAATGTTCTAGAGCTTTATGATAAGCTTGTCAAGGACTGGGCCCCTAGTACACGTGGTCCCCCCATCCTGGCAATTACCTCAGTTCCTAAGAAGATACTGCTGCTGCATCAAAGTGATAAAGGAGTGACAGACAGAGGGGAGGACGGGCCAGGAAGTGTGAATTCACAGATGACCACTTGAAGCACCAGAGTTACAGGTAAGTAACCTCTCTTTCTTCTTTGTAGTCTCTGTGAATGCACACTAATCGGTGATTAACGAGCTAACTTACCGGAGGAGGGACGTCACGGAAGAACAGAAGAAAGTACAGCTCTCCCAAATGCTGCATCCTTTTTGGCTCCCAGATCTAGGCGATAACGGGTGGCGAACGTAGACGGCGTTACCCATGTAGCAGCCTTGCAAATGTCTGGGAGTGGTTCTCCACGAAGAAAGGCCTCAGAGGAAGCCGGAGCTCTGGTAGAACGAGCCTTAATACCAACAGGTAGAGGCTGTTTCGCGAGTTGATTTGCCCTTTTTATAGTGCAACAAGCCAATGGGATACAGTTTGAGACAAAATATGAGAGCCTCGTGAGGGAGGTGCGGTGTTATAAAAATGTCGCTTTGTTTTAGAAGAAGTCCGTGAGACATAGAAAGCAAGTGTGTGTCTAACGTCCAACGTATATAAAGACTTCTCGAGGTTAGTCGTAGGTGATGGGAAAAAGGTACGTAAAACAATAGGTTGGGAGAGGTGCAAATCTGACACAACCTTTGGTACAAAGGAGACATCAGGGGAAAGGGTGACCTTGTCCGGGTGAAATTGAAGAAATGGAGGATTGACCCAGAGGGCAGCAAGTTCTGAGGCTCTATGAGCAGAAGGAATGGTGACCAGGAAGAGTGTCTTAAGGGAAAGGAGGTGCTCTGAGATGGTAGCAAATGGCTCAAATGGAGCACCAGTGAAGAACAACAGGTAGAGACCATGGTGGGGATGGTGCAGGTTCAGAAGGATGCATATTAGAGACACCCCGAAGGAAGAGTTTTAATGTGGGATGGTGAAAAGGCATAGCAGCATCAGAATCTTGAGGTTGATGAGCTATTAGAGCAGACAGGTAAACCTTGGAAGTAGAAAGGGAGAGTTGCTTGCAAAAGAGATGGGAGAGAAACAAAAGGACAGCATGTAGGGTCGTAGGATTGGCTGGAAGATGATGTTGAAGAGCAAACTGTGTGAAGAGAGTCCATTTATACGAATAGAGCTTAACAGTGACAGGATTTCAGGCGTTAGCTAAGATGGCATCTACCGAGGGTGACTCCTCCATGCCGTGAGATGGAGAATGTGAAGATCGGGTTGGTGAGTCCTGCCTTGATGCTGTGAGAGGAGGTGAGGAATGAGGGGCAGTCGGAGGTAATCTGCAGAGATGGAGTGCATCTCAGAGGGATCCGTGTCCCATGCCTGCCCTCGAATAGAAGAGGGTGCATTTGGAGTTTAGGGATGTGGCGAACATGTCTATGCGTGGTTGAGCCCAGATCTTGCAAAGGTGGTGAAATACAGACGGGTCTAGAGTCCATTCGTGCATCTGGGTATGTAGTCTGCTGAGAGTGCCCACTACAAGACTGACTTGAGTAGCAATATGTACTGCTACGGGGAAAATGTGGTATTCTAGACACCATTCCCAGAATTGGACAGCGAGATACAGCAGTGGAAGGGGATGGGTGCCTCATTGTTTGTTTATGTAAAACAACATGGTGGTATTTTCAGTTGTGACTTGAACGGCATTGCCGAGAATCATAGGTTTGAAGGCTCAGAAGACCTTTAAAATGGCTAAGAGCTTGAGATTGTTTATATGAAGAGCTTGCTCGGCGCGGGACCAGGTAGCATGAATATGCAGGGTGTTGCAGTGCGGCCCCCATCCAGTAGGGCTTGCATCGGTGGTGATCTGAACCAAGAGTTGGAGAGGAGTAAAGGACTGTCCGATGAACAGGTTGAATGGAGTGTCCCACCAGAGGAGCTGAGAAGAGAGCTCGGGGGTGACTTGGAGAAGATCGGAAGATGGGTCTGTCATAGGATCGAAAATAAACAGATACCATTACTGTAGGGAGCACATCTTTAGCCTGGAGTGCCGAACAGTGGATGTGGTGGAGGCCATAAGGCCTAGGAGACGTTGAGCCGAAATGTGCTGTGACGAATGAATGAGGGTGGCACCCTAACATCCTTCAATGAATCGGCAAGGCAGAAGCTCTCCCACCAAGACTATACGGACTCCCCAAAATCCACAAGGACTCAATCCCCCTCAGGCCCATTGTAAGTCCCATCGGCTCCCCGATATATAAATTGGCAAAATACCTACCCACCTTCCTATAGAACCACATTGGACAAACCTCATCCTACATCAAAGACTCATGACATTTCATAGGCAAGATCAGCACCCTAAAACTCAACCCCGGGGACAGACTGATCAGCTTTGATGTAGTA